ACACACTGGGTTGTTACGTCTGACCCAGGAGCTAGGATAACACAAAAACTACTTAAACACTGGGTTTTTACGTCTGACCCAGGAGCTAGGTAGCACAAAAACTACCCAAACACTGGGTTGTTACGTCTGACCCAGGAGCTTGGATAACACAAAAACTACCCAAACACTGGGTTGTTACGTCTGACCCAGGAGCTGGGTTAAACAAAAACTACCCAAACACTGGGTTGTTACGTCTGACCCAGGAGCTGGGTAACACAGAAACTACCCAAACACTGAAAAAATAACCCAAACAATTGACCCAAAAGGCTCAACCCAGGATTTGGGTAGAAAAAATAACCCAATATTTTTTAGAGTGAAGACATGATGATAACTCATAGACTCATCTGTGTAAACATGCATGTGTGTTCTTGTCCTGATATCAGAACGCAGGTCAGGACTGTTAGCACTGAGATTCCCGCTGCATCGCCGACCCTACGCTCGCCTCTACAGACACTGCAGTCCTCCAGCAGGTCAGGGGTTAATGAGGTTTATGATCAGAGGTTTATTATATTATCCAGCGTACTGTAAGATCTCTCTGTAGGGTCATCAGTCGCGACGCCTGTACGGTCTGTGGGAAGCCCATCGCTGGAGACGGGAAGATGATCTTAGAGGAGCTGAACATCATCAGCCACACGTCCTGCTTCAGGGTAACGCACGAGTCAGTCTGGATCTCGATCTGCACTGATGCTCACAACTCTGATGTCTGCCTGTCTGTCTGTCTGTCTGTCTGACTGACCATCAGTGTGCCTGTCTGTCTGTCTGTCTGACTGTCTGACCATCAGTGTGCCTGTCTGTCTGACTGACTGACCATCAGTGTGCCTGTCTGTCTGTCTGTCTGACTGTCTGACCATCAGTGTGCCTGTCTGTCTGTCTGACTGTCTGACCATCAGTGTGTCTGTCTGTCTGTCTGTCTGTATGTCTGACCATCAGTGTGTCTGTCTGTCTGTCTGTCTGTCTGTATGTCTGACCATCAGTGTGTCTGTCTGTCTGTCTGTCTGTCTGACCATCAGTATGTCTGTCTGTCTGTCTGTATGTCTGACCATCAGTGTGTCTGTCTGTCTGTCTGTCTGTCTGACCATCAGTATGTCTGTCTGTCTGACTGACCATCGGTGTGCCTGTCTGTCTGTCTGACTGACCATCAGTGTGCCTGTCTGTCTGTCTGACTGTCTGACCATCAGTGTGCCTGTCTGTCTGTCTGTCTGACTGACCATCAGTGTGCCTGTCTGTCTGTCTGACTGTCTGACCATCAGTGTGTCTGTCTGTCTGTCTGTCTGTATGTCTGACCATCAGTGTGTCTGTCTGTCTGTCTGTCTGTCTGTATGTCTGACCATCAGTGTGTCTGTCTGTCTGTCTGTCTGTCTGACCATCAGTATGTCTGTCTGTCTGACTGACCATCGGTGTGCCTGTCTGTCTGTCTGACTGACCATCAGTGTGCCTGTCTGTCTGTCTGTCTGTCTGACTGTCTGACCATCAGTGTGCCTGTCTGTCTGTCTGACCATCAGTGTGCCTGTCTGTCTGACTGACCATCAGTGTGCCTGTCTGTCTGTCTGACTGTCTGACCATCAGTGTGTCTGTCTGTCTGTCTGTCTGTCTGTCTGACCATCAGTGTGCCTGTCTGTCTGTCTGACTGACCATCAGTGTGCCTGTCTGTCTGTCTGACTGTCTGACCATCAGTGTGCCTGTCTGTCTGTCTGACTGTCTGACCATCAGTGTGCCTGTCTGTCTGTCTGTCTGTCTGTCTGACCATCAGTGTGCCTGTCTGTCTGACTGACCATCAGTGTGCCTGTCTGTCTGACTGTCTGTCTGACCATCAGTGTGTCTGTCTGTCTGTCTGACCATCAGTGTGCCTGTCTGTCTGACTGTCTGACCATCAGTGTGTCTGTCTGTCTGACTGTCTGACCATCAGTGTGCCTGTCTGTCTGACTGACCATCAGTGTGCCTGTCTGTCTGACTGTCTGACCATCAGTGTGCCTGTCCGTCTGACTGACTGACCATCAGTGTGCCTGTCTGTCTGTCTGACTGTCTGACCATCAGTGTGTCTGTCTGTCTGTCTGTCTGTCTGTCTGACCATCAGTGTGTCTGTCTGTCTGTCTGTCTGTCTGTCTGACCATCAGTGTGTCTGTCTATCTGTCTGTCTGACCATCAGTGTGTCTGTCTGTCTGACTGACCATCGGTGTGCCTGTCTGTCTGTCTGACTGACCATCAGTGTGCCTGTCTGTCTGTCTGACTGTCTGACCATCAGTGTGCCTGTCTGACTGTCTGACCATCAGTGTGCCTGTCTGTCTGTCTGTCTGTCTGACTGTCTGACCATCAGTGTGTCTGTCTGTCTGTCTGTCTGTCTGACTGTCTGACCATCAGTTTGTCTGTCTGTCTGACCATCAGTGTGTCTGTCTATCTGTCTGTCTGACCATCAGTGTGTCTGTCTGTCTGACTGACCATCGGTGTGCCTGTCTGTCTGTCT